GTTCGAGGTGTGCAATAGATGTAGCATGCTTGCGCTGGTCTACCCCCAACCCCGTGCTGCATCCCACCATATCAAAGATGTCCTGGAACCCTCCCTGTCTGAGCAAATGACCAGATAAAGGTTATGCCTGCTTTTGATGAGGCCACTCAGGTACATTGATGTGGGACAGTGCGGACTTCTTTGAAGCGACCGACGTCGGACCCCGCTTCGTCCCTCCGGCTTTGATTCAGCAAATCGGTGCGCAGCAACCGGTGGGAGAGGCCCTCGGCCAGAGCCGATCTGATTGATTTCGCCCCGTCTGGCCCCACGGCAACCCCGCGTGCAACAGAGGAGTGCCTAGCCGCGGACTTCGACGGCGGACGGTCCGAATAGAGGCAACTCTGCGTTGCGCTCTCGGCCGCCCCGCTGCCGCGGTCGGTGGCCAGGCCCTCTCCTGTTGCCAGCGGGCTTCCAATCGCTTGTGCTCTCTACAACAGCCCCGAACCCCTCCCTGTGTTTTTCGCTCCACACCGTAACCATTTGGGCTTATACATTCCAGGCGTTCACGTGCACGGGCGATCCCAGTGGGTCATTTTAGCGATCGCTCTGCCAGAGGAATGGCTGGAGTGGATGCCGACGCTGATGGGGCAACCTCGGCTTTTGGAGCATCTTCCGCCCATAGCTCCAGGCGGGTGTCGCGTGGCAGAGCAGATGCGAAGCTGACGACGATCACCTGCCACCTCTGTGAACAGGAAGGGCTCTGCTACAAACAATGTTGGGGAGTATGTTTCGACCAGGAGTGCTTCAGCAAAGTACGAGCCAGACACCGAGCTTTAAAGAAAGAGCAGAAAGGCACAGGGAAGGACCTCGTCGCAGAGAACAAGGCGATGATGCTCGAGAAACCTGCCGAATGGCGGAAGGACGAGTTCTTCTCCCCCGATGGCCGCAAGCAGGTGACAGCGCTGCAGAAGCAGAAGGGCCAGGCGTTCAAGGCTGAGGGTCCCTCAAGCAAGACCTCTACGTGGAAGACGAGAGCTCCTACACCAAGCGGGCCTACAAGGATAAGATGAAGGCGGACAACTCGATGTCGGAGAGCCTCGACAGCGGTGACCTGAGCGCCGATTTCGACGAGTTGCACGAACGTCAACTCACGGAAGGTGAGAAGACAATGGAGAACCGCGCTGGGAGGCAGCTCGTCTGGCTGTGGGACAACCCCAAGGTTCGCCACGCCTCAGGGAAGCAGTCCTTCGACGGCGTTCGGGATTGGACAAGCGGCGGCGACGGCCCTGCTGGCAGTCGGGAGGGCCGTCCACCAGCGGCATCTCACTCGGGACGAGCGCCAGCCAGATCCCCCACGAGCGAGCTCGACGACGGCTCCGACGCCCCCGCTGTCAAGCGCCTCCGCGGCAAGTGCAGTGCGGGCGCCGTGAGGGCGCGGCCAGGCGCGAAGGTGGATGACACGGACGGCGTGCTGTACCTCCGCCAGCGCGACGCATTGATCGACACGGTGGGCGAGTACATGCATGAGATCATCGGCCCCAAGGGCTTGCGGAGGGTCGTTGCGACAGTGAGGCAGCTAATCAAAGACAAGGACCTCGACGCCAGCCTGCTCCCTCACGATCCGTCTGATATGGAGAAGGCGATCGGTGATCTGATCAACGAGATCGAGGAGCTCCAAATGACGGCCAAGAAAGCGAAGAAGCAAGACATCGAACGCGAGCAGGGCAAAGCTGACGATATCAAGGCTAAGATCCTTTCGATCAAGGCCAAAGTAGACGACCTCCACGCCTCAACCACCCACATGCTGCAGGGTGCCCGCCTCAGCGAGCGTTCGAGCAGACAGAAGATCTACTGGAGGCAGGTCTCGATCGAGAACGCCTTGTTGGGCGGAAAGTTTGGCACGCAGCACGCTAAGCACTTGGCCAAGGTGTTGTACTTTTTCGACACGGCGGACGAGATGGTGCAGAACCCAGAGGACGATGAGGAGAACCTTGCGTGGATGCAGATCCAGCGCAACCCAGACGCGCCCAACTTTGCCGTGATGGCGTCGTGGCCCGCTGAGGGCGATCACGTCCAGTACATTCGGGACTCCGTGAAGCAGCAGTGCGCCCAGGACAAGCTTGAGAACATGCGGGACCACATGAGTCGCAACCCTTCGTGGAGCGGAGCAGTTTCCGCCGTGGACGGGCTAGCGATCGACGAGGCCATGAAGCGGCTCTGCGCCAACGTCGAGCTTGGAGACGGCGGCGGCACGTGGATGATAGCAGCAAGGGAGCATTGCTGCAGGTTCGGGCCCAAGGCGTTTCCCCTCTTTGGGAGCGCCTGTCTGGTGATCATGCTCGAGAAGACGCTCTACCTACAGCTGACGCCGATGGAACAGATCTTGGAAAAGGGCTTCTCGGCAATGGAGCACGGCAAGTTCCTTGAGACCCCCGAGGGGGCAGCCCACTTGGCAGAGAAGGTGATCACTTGCAAGTTGTCCAGCGGTGAAGTGTTCTACATCCCGAACGGTTTCCTGACATTTGGAGTGCATCGCCCGCAGACCACCGAGAAGGAGGACCAGTCACCCTCAGGAAAGAAAGCAGTAAGGAAGAGGCCTGCGAAGGCCACCGTGAGTAACGAAGTTGCCTACGCTCTGGTGGTTCCACTGATCACCAAGGACGGGCTCGCCGACCTCAACGACCAGACGAAGGCGGCCATCCTGAAGGTCAACGCGGACCACTTCAACTCAAAGCAGTCCGACCCGCAGTACAAGAAGAGGGAGAGCTGGTTCACCACGCTCTTCCGAGGCACGGGCTAGCGGCTCCTCGGCCAGAGTCCGTGGCCGTGTGCCCAGCACGAGCAACCATCCATCATGCCAGTCATCATCCTCATCATCATCATCACGATCCTCACTCTCACCAGCAGTGCAATCGAATAGGCCCCGCTGTCATCATAAGGACGGATCGTTTAGGCTCGTCTGTGTAGTTTGGTGCAGGTCTTGCTTGCAATGTTCCAACGTCTCCCCCCTCACTCGACCTACTCCGTTCTCTCGCCATTCGTCATTCGTAATATTTCTGAGTATCGCCAGCCCCAGTGTACTGTACGTCTGCATCCCCTGCAGCCTCGTCATCGTCTGGGCTGCCTCCCCTCGCTCGTGTCATTTCTGAGATTGCCCCTCCTGTGCCCTCCTGCTGCGCACGTGGCTCCGCGCATGCCCTCGCTCCTTCCTCCTTGGTCTCCCCCTCCGCCGCTCCTACTTAGTTTGTTGTTACGCCGCCGTGCCAAAAAGGCAAAGGCTAAAACGCTGGTACACGGTCATGGCCGTGGGCGCGTCGGGCGCGCCATGAGGATGGCGGCGGCCACTTGTCCTTCGGCATCCGTGCGAGCCGACGGCGCATCGTGAAGTTGCCCTGCTGGGAGGCGGCGTCAGCACCCACTCAACGACAACATCGCTGAGCGCACTACGCGGCGATGCATGCAAAGCCCAACGGCTCGCCAAAACGGCTGCCAACGCGCGCGCCGTTTCTCAACGGTAGCGCGGGCGTGCGGGTCAATGCTTAATAGCACGTGCCCCCTTTAACATGCACCCATCAACACGACGGGTGGCCGTGAGAGCGGCGCGCCGAGTAGCGAGGGGGGCGCCCTTGCCCCCCTCCATTGCGCTTGAAACAACGCATGCGCGAGTTCACGCCGCGCGCTGGCGGCATGAAACGTGGGGCCACGAAGCTGAGCAGCTCATGTTGTATGTTTTTAGGCGCTGGGGATGTCATCTCGGCAAGTCCGATCGCAGCCGCTAGGTTGGGTGAACCGCCGCCCTTTTGTGTGAACCGCGCCGCTGGTCATCTTCATTAGGAACGCGCGTCACGTGATGAGACGGGGTGCGACGTCGAGTCGCGCGCCCGTCTGCGCGGCGGTGGGATGCGTCGATGGGGCGGCGGCTTTAGTTTGGCGCGGTGATGGTGCGATGGCGCCGATCAGGACAAACGTCCGAGCGCGCGGTGCCCGCCTATCTCGGGCCCGCGCGCGTCTTGAATTCGCTACTGGGCCCAAGCGACGATGACCGAACGATGAGCGCAATTGGGGTACACGCGCTCGTTCGGATATCTACGGATGTGGGCGAGGCATTGCCCTCGCCCCGTTGCGCTGCCCCTTTCAATGGACCTCCTCCGCGCAGCATGCCGTGCGCGCTGGCGGCGCTCATAGTGCGATGCTTGGGGCGTGCGCGCGCGGTGCATACGCGTGATGCGCCAATGGGGTTTTACCCCGAGATCGGCATGGCTCCCGCGGCGCATTGTTGACCTATGTTGCAACTACATCGGCTGCGTGTCGGGCATGGCCCAGGCTGCTCACTTTTGCCCATCGGCCGAGGTAAGCACCTGGCCGTTGTAGCTCAAACGCGCATGGCCGCAGCATCGATCACACGCTGATGCGCGGCACTGTGGAAACCACGAACGCGCGTGCAACGCTCCATGCCCACACCACAACGTCTGCGCATAAATGCCGCGCGCTTGCTACTCAGACAAGCGGCAAGGCGCTTGATTCGCGTTCAGCAGGTGGACGTGTGCTGACACGTTGGCGTTGGTGCGGTATGGTTTGGTGTCGTGGGGTGAAGCTGGCGGCGCCGCATGGTCAGCCAAATTGGCATTGAAACGTCTATGTGCTGCGTCACGTTGGCCGCGCGAGGCAAGCCCGTGCTGCCTCTGTGTACTTTTCCTAGAAGCTTGTGATCGGTTTTGCTGATTCCTGCAGGCTTGGGCTGCCGTCTGCACTTTCCTGTAGGTTTGGGCAAAGTTCTGCATCGCGTTCGAGGTTTGGGATCCCGTTCTGCATTTCGGAGGTGAATTGTTCTTGGGAACCTTACTGCCTACGCCCTTACCACTCTCCGCCTCCCAGATCCGCTCCTCGTCGGCCCCCGGCCCATCCCACTAAGTCGTCCGAGCCACCCCTGGCTGCGGCGACGAGGAGCTCCAGAGGCGCCCAGAGAGAGGCCTCCGCGACGGCGGCGACGACGACGGGCTGCCCGATGTCCGGTGCAGCAGGCGCACTGCCTCCGGCGCTTGGCGGACTCCCCCTGGGTGGTGTCGCTGCTCCACGAGTTCGACGGGCCGCTACAGTGGGTTGGCATCCTCGAGCTCTGCGAGGGCGCGCGGGGGCACCACCGCCGCCGCCGCCGGAGGAGGAGGAGGAGGAGGAGGAGGAGGAGGAGGAGGCGGAGGAGGAGGGGGGGGGGGAGGAGGAGGGGGAGGAGGAGGAGGAGGAGGAGGAGGAGGAGGAGGGAGGAGGGAGGAGGAGGAGGAGGAGGAGGAGGAGGAGGAGGAAAAGGAGGAGAGGAGGAGGAGGAGGGAGGAGGAGGAGGAAGGAGGAGGAGGAGGAGGAGGAGGAGCAGCAGAGGAGGGGTGCGAGGAGGAGGGGGGAGGGGAGGGGTAGGAGAAGGTGTTGGCGTCGCTGGGCGGGCGTGATGCCCTTTCTTCTCCACGCATGGGCTGCAGATGATCCTTGTCCCAAGTTTCCTGTACAGGCAGACCGAAGAGGAGGAAGAGAAGAAGGAGGGGGAAGAGGAGGAGAAGGAGGACTGACACGTTTGGTGGCAGAAGGCCCTGGCGGCGTTCCCGAGACGCTGGGGCGTGATGGGTGGGAGCTGGGCTGCTTCGCCGGGCCACCCTGGGACACGGGGAGGGGGTCTTCCCTGGGCCTCCCAGAGCTCCGAGAGGCGGTCCGACTCATGCTCTAGGATTGTGTTGTTCCCATCCTACTGAAAGGACCGCATCCCAGAAATAATTTCGAGCACCCGGAAAAGTGTCAAAAGAGTGTCGGAACAGTGTCGAAACAGTGTCGGGCGAGTGTCTCCCAGGGCCCGACACGTGAAAACCCTTGAGTTTCGGTACTGTTTGGGGCTCTCGAAATTCTTCCGGGTGATCAAGGCTAAAGTAGGTTGGAGCATCATAACTCTAGGAACTTGGTGGGGTGGCCTGGCCACATAAGGTTTTTGGCTCTGACTTCCTGGGGCTTCCAGACCATGTGGTCTTTGATCCACTCGTGGTCCCGCCCGGTCCACTTGGCCATCTGCACTGAGACCCATTCTTCCCGTGGGGGCTGTGGCGTGGAGTCTTCCCGAGAGCGCTCCCGCTCGTGAAGGCTTGTCGCCTCCTCGTGGAAGTGGTCAAAGACGTGCTGAGCTTGCTGGCGGCACTTCTGCATGCCGTCTGTCTGCGCGTCGGCGATGGGAGCAACGAGACACTGGCGAGAACTGTTGAAAAGATGCGGCAGCTCCTGAACTGCCTTGAACTCCAAAGGCGCATCCTGAAGAGCTGACAGGACTGCCCGCAATCTGGCAGGGAGTCCGACGTGCACTGCGCTAAGTACGCCTCGCTCTTGATTATTCAGCCACAGTAGAGGCCTAGCGTACGACTGCCATCTAGCTGGATGCTTGGACTCATCGGCCTTGGCCGAGACCCAGATGATTCGCTGGGCTGGCTCTTGTTGCCCTGACTCCTGAGCGGGGTACCTGTCTGCTGCGCAGCTGTGGCCTCCAGGTCTAGAACGAACGCGTCGAAATCTGCATCTGGTGCCTGGTGACGCCGGATGCCTGAAACCCTGTCCTCCTGGATAGTGATCTGATACTGCTGCGCTGCTGCGGCTGATCTGGTCCACTGCTGGGGCTCCTTAGCGAAGGGGCCCCGTAGGGGCGCCCTGCAGGGAGCTGCTGAGGTTTTGTCTGGTCGAGGTGGAGGGTGACCGTGGCCTATCGAGAACGGGGCGACGACGGGTCGACGCGGGGAGAGGGGGTATTCGTCAGGAGAGAAAAGCACACAGGCACATTTCATCGTCGATTCCCAAGAAAACATGGGAAACTATGGGAGTTGGGCGCGAAGACAAAACCCAGAAAAGATTGGAAAAGATGGGGAATCGTTCTATTTGTGTGTATTCATTTGTGTGTCCCAGGGCCCCTTCAATTCAGAGAGAGCCTTGGTACTGCTGGTCGACTCCCCAAGAACAGATTTCACGATGAAGTCATCCAGCTTGGACTTGCTTTTGGCGGTGGAATAGTTGGCGCTCACAGGGCTCACCAAAGAGAAGCCTCCTCTGTTCATCAGACTGGTCTTCTGGACTGCTGATGGTGGCATTTGGAAATCTGCTGCGGCGATGACTGGCATGCTGTGGCGGCTCTGCATCCACCCGATGGCTGCAAGCAGGTCGAGGTGCTGCTGGTTCAACAAGACCGGGCCTTCAAAGTAGAGGGAGAGCAGGACGAGCGGCGAGTGTCCTGGGAGTTCCAACATCATGGCTGAGATCCTGATGGGCGAGATTGAGAGCAGGAGGGTTACATGGCGGATGCCCACATCAAAACTTGCGCGAACAAGAATGACAGTCCCTGCCATTGGCCTGGCGGCTTCACTGGGGAACATGTGCACAATGATCTCGTACCAACCTTCTTTTGGGCACCGCTGCTTTGCATCTATGATGCGATTCCCTGAGAGGCGAGCCTCTCGGCAGCAGCCTGCAATGACATTCTCGAGGAATGACGAGGTGACAGAACTTTGGGCAGAGCCCCAACAACTGCCAATGATACTAGCTATCTGCATGACTCGAGTGTTACCCATTCCCTTTCCTTTGGGTCTCCTTCGCGGCGATTGCGGGCTCCTCGAGTTTTTTGGGAAGCTTGCTCTCTCTCCTCCCCATGCGGCTGCGATGATCACCGCTGGTCGCTCGAGGTTCGGCTGCTGAATCTGTCTGGGCTCTCTTGTGGCCCTGAGTCTCGTCCACTCGTGCCCCGTTGGGACCCGCGGCTGCTGCTGGCTGAGCTGGCCGAGGCTCTGGGGGGGGCGGGGGGGGGCGGCCGTGGCGGCAGCTGCTGAGGGTGGCGATGGCTGAATTTGAGACTCGGCTGCCTCCGGGGCCGCCTGCGGAGCCTGCTGCGCTTCGTTGCAGGCGGTCGCCAACTGACCCTCCAGCGTCTGGATCTGTTCCTGGATCGCTGTCGGAGCCCCTGCCACGGGTCCTTGCTTGAGTTGCGAGGTGGACGTGGTAACCTTCGGGAAGTGCGGCTGCTCTTCTGGTGGGGCTGCGTGCTCTGCTGCTGCGCGAGTTGTGACTGCCAACTGGCCCTCGAGCTGCTAGGGCTCCATGTCCGCTGCGACCTTGCCCACCTCGAGGCTGGCGACTTTGTCGGCGAGGAAGGTGCTCTCGGAAACGTGCTCGGTGACCTGCCCGGCGGACCTTTGGATTTTGCCTTGAACCGTAGACGCCTGATCACGAAGGGACCGGGACTGTTGTTCCAAGGGCTTGTCTTGGAGGTCAGTGGCTTTCGCCTGACTGAGAGAGACCACGGCTTTGGCACAATTCTCTCCCCCAGTCCTCTCACGGAGCTTCCAAAAGGCCACCGCGTCCCGGAAGATGGCGACTGGGTCCGTGGAGGTGGGGGGCTTTGGTTGGGCGGGGTTTCAGGGGGTTTCGTCTTGACAACGATGCTTGCCCTGGAGACGTGACCAGCGATTCCTGCACCCGCCTCCTCTTTTTGTTCCTGTCCTGCCCAGACACGTTCGACCCTGTGGTGGTCGAGTACGCCCATCGGAAATCTTCAGCACAAAACATCGACATTAATGGACTTTGGATTGGGTTCAAGAAAACCAAGGATCTGGTGTGGGCACTGGGCGTTTTCTTGCTGATTTTTTCTTTGCAGAATGTTCGTAGATCAGGTCCTGGATTCTCGTTCAAGAAAAAGCTTCGAGTGCAGTCCATTATTTTTGGTTGGAATTGTCTTGAATCTACGCAGGGGTGTAGTTGGCCCTGCCCCCCAGACGTGGAAAAGGTCTGCCCACACTTTGACACGAACTTGTTCTTCCTGCCGAGGTATGACCAGCCCGAGCACCCAGGCTGAGTGCAGCGTGCGTACTGGCGACGGGCTTTTTGGAACAAAAAGCCATGGCCCGCGAGCAGCGCACAGGAGGGCGCCCGCGAGGAAGGCAAGAATTGCGGCGGCCGCGTGCCGCCCGACTGACTGAACGGCTTGCTGCAGAACTGGCAGAGCTGCCTGCCAGGCTCGAGCGGGGTCTGGGGCGTTCAGGAGCAGGCCCCTGGACCCAAGATGGCTACAGAGGAGAAGGAGGAGGAGGAGGAGGAGGAGGAGGAGGAGGAGGAGGAGGGGGAGGAGGAGGAGGATGGGGAGGAGGAGGAGGAGGAGGAGGAGGAGGAGGGGGGAGGAGGAGGAGGAGGAGGAGGAGGCTGGAGGAGGTGGAGGAGGAGGAGGCGGGCTTGCTGAAGCACGCGCAAGGGCACATCGTCGATCCTTGTACGTGCATGGGAGAGCCGTCGTCTTCATTCGTAGCGTAGCTGCTGGCGTTGGAGGTCTGTGCTGGTTCGTTTGGGCGATGCTGGGCCACACGTTTTGCACGTTAACGCGCCTGTCTTAGTTAGGACCTGAGAGGGCATGGAAGAAATAGAGGAGGAGGATCAGGAGGAGGAGGATGAGGAGGATGATGAGGAGGTCGGCTGGAGATTGAGGAGTAAACGGGGAGAAGGAGGAGGATGAGGATGAGGAGGAGGATGAGGATGAGGATGAGGATAGTGAGGATGATGATGATGCTGATGATGATGCTGATGATGATGATGCTGATGATGATGGGGAGGAGGAGGAGGACAAGGAGGAGGAGGAGGAGGAGGAGGAGGAGGAGGAGGAGGAGGGGGAGGAGGAGGAGGGGGACGAGCAAGAGATGAGCAACAGAAGCAGGATGGTCTGCCTCTCCCACTCGCTCCACTCCCATCGCCTGCTTTTCCCTCGCCTTTGCCCCGCCGTGGGTGGAAAGATCATGATGTCTGCCTCTTGGGGAGCACTGGAAGCGGATATCGTTCGATCGTTCGATCGTGAGCGGTCCACGCAGTATCGGAAGCCTGGACCCACGCCGACACGGTGGTAACCTGTCGTCGAAGAAGCGTGTTTCCCCCCCTTGCAGGTGCACAGTGGGGGCCTTCTCCGATCAATCTATGTTCGGCATGCTGTCGTTACCAGTATGGCAGGGTTAAACCTGTGCGTCAGACCCCTGCGTGTGAGAAACTGTGCCTCGTGTGGGAATTCGGGCAAGTAGCTAGACGACGCGTGCTGCAACAATCTCTCCTTACCTCATTAACAGCAGAGCTTCTGGATACTTCATGCTTCTCCATATTAAAGCACACAGTTCTGGAACTGGCGTGTTTGAGGGTGGCTCGCCAGGTCTTCGAATCAGGCACGCTGCACAAGCATGGTATATAGTCAATGCAGGGCGAAGGGTGGTATCAGCTCGCGTGTGCTCCCCAGCTGTGCCAATTATGGTCGAGAGCGGCTTCGAGCGTTGTTCGACTCGGCCTGCCGCAGAGTCCTCGCACAGAGGAATGTCAATCCACCTAACGGCCCCCTCGTCAGACAACTTCACGAACAACACATCCTTCTCGCCAGCCATCCTCCTGTAGCTTTCCAGATGGAGGCCTCTGGAGGCTTCTGGAGGCCTCCGGAGGCTGAACATAAGACCATCAAGCGTCAAACACTCCTTGGTCTGCGGGGAGTCGGGTAAGAAGCGGTCGAGCTAACTGGCAGGACGTATCGACGGCGAGTGGGCGAACGCCAGAGACGCCCAGACCATGCTCGTGCGAGAGCGCCGGGGAGCTCTGCAGAGCCACGCCCCTGTCGCCCGCCCCCCCCCCGTCCTCCTCCCCCCGGCGGACTCCAGAGGCCCAGAAAAAGGAGCAGAGAGGTGCGGTCGGTCCGCGTGCCGTCGACGCGGCGGCGTCGCAGCCGCGGGCAGCCAAGGTTCCGCGCCGCCAGTGGCCCAGACTCGGACCAGTATGGAGCGCTCTGGCGATCGGACGGCCGCCGATCGCTCAAGGCTGGACGATCCGCGCGGCGTGAAAGACCAAGCCCAGAGGTTTCAAGCCGCACGCGATGCGGGCAATCCTTCTGTCCGTGTCCACTGCAGCCTGGCTTTTTTGGGCCCCCTCCCCCAGAAGCCCCAGGCGCAGCAGGTACTGACGGCACGTCCGCCCCCCTTGGAGGCTCGATGCCTGTCCGTGTCCAGTGCGCGCCTCGGTCTTGTGGCGCCCTCTCCAGGAGAGTCCGAGACGCGCTGTATCTGGATCTGATTCTTGCCCGCAGGAGAACGTCCGGAGACTCGGGGGCCCGAAGGATCGGGGGTGGACAGACCTCCTACCCTGACACGTCGATTGAGGACTTGGCCGTTTTCGGTTCGCGAGAAGGCGTCGCGGCCGTCATTTTTCCGGGTCCAGGTCCGTCGATTTCGGTCCCAGGCCGTTTTCACTAAGGGGAGGTCTACGAAAGGGAGGTTTGTCCACCGCCGAAGGGAGGCGCCGCGGCCGCGACACGCCGCGGCGGGCCGGCCCGGGCCAGGCGGCGAGCTGTGGGCCCTGGTGCAGCAGTGCGGCTGCTGCGCCCCGGGGGAGTCCGCCTGGCTCGCGGCGCAGATGGTGGAGGCCTGCCCCGGGAGCGAGCGGCCCACGCCGGGGGCCTCGGCGCCGGGCCTCCCAGGTACGTTCGGGGACATGATCGCGTCGTGCAAAAATCAGGGCGGGAGGTTTGGGGCTCTTTTCGGCTCCGGGGGGCCCTCGCCGGGCCCCGGGGCCGTCAAGACACGACTCAGGACGAAAACCTGGTCCCAGGGAAGGGTCGGCGTCCTGAAAAAATCAGGACGTCTCACGTCTGGGTTACAGTCGACCCGCATAGTAAGGATGGGCAAGCTTCCCGAGGGTACCCTTCCATCCTTGCCTCCTCTTTCCGTCCTTCGCCACTCCCGCTGGCCGCGCCCCGCTGGAGAAGCTTCGACACGGTGGAGGTCTGCCCGGAACGAGCGGTCCACGTCAGGGGCCTTGGTTATCGTTTTCTGATTCCTTGTTTTGCCGCTCGGCACGGGCCCTCGCACCCATCCCCATGGATGAAATATTTTTGTTTCTTTTGGCGCCTGTTTCGAGCAGGTGAGGTCTACACCATGGGCGCACGGTTGCAAGCAGTCGCATTATAAGCAGAGCTCTAGAACCGGATCCCGCCCTCCCCCCCTTCCGCCCAATGTCGAAACGCCGAACACGAAGACGCTCACTTGACGCTAGGCCTCTCAGAGACGGTAGGTTCGCGTCGTGTCGACCATCGGCGATCCCGCCGCCATGGTTCCGTGTGGAACGCCGCTGGCGATCCAGAGTCGGTCCATGTGGAACGATCCAATGGTTCCAGAACGGCCGATCGTGCAAGGTTGAACGATGCCTCAGGTGTCAGGATCCACTGCCGAAGTCGGCACGATACGATCTTGCCCTGGGGTCCGAGTAGATGGTGCCGGAGGCTTGCGCCGCATCGCCGATGCATTCGCGATGCGGCTCGCTGTGCAGGCCGACATTCTCCACACCGGCGTCGCCAATGCGTCGCCAGCGTCGCGGATGTGTCGCCGATGCGTCGGAGGATGCGTCGTCGATGCGGCGCGATCCTCCGACCGCATCTACTGCGATTCCATCCGGGAGGCCTCTGTTGGTCTGTGTCCTCCGATCTGGAGGCGCGTCCCCGAGGATCTCGCCGAGCGCTGGGTGCGGACGCCAGCACGGCCTCTGCAGGCGGGGAAGTGTCAACAGCCAACGCTGCGCGGGATCCTCCCGGGCACTCCCTCGGACCAGTCTGCACAGATAGATGCCTGGGCGTGGAGCCCAGGACGTCTTGGGTTGAGCTCTTCCCGGGGCCTCGGGAGGGCGAAGGCTCTGGACACCCAACGCCTCGAGAGAACCCAGGCGGAGGTTGTTCGCACTGGTCGGTGTCTGGAGGCCCTTCTCGGTCTCTGGGGCAGTGCCCACATGGTCCTGAGTGCAGAGCTGTTCCCCGAAAAGGGGTTCAGAGCTCTGGGGCCAATGGGCTCTGAAACCAGCATGATGTTGGTGGTCTGGGAGGGCAGCGATCTGTTGAGAAAGTATCTGGATGTCTCTGGCAAGGCTGCTTGTTGCGCGAGTTATGCAGTCCTAGCAGCCCTCACGAGAGTTCTTAGCCGTGTAGCGCAAGGCGGGACGCCAAGCTTCCAAAGAGCAAGCTTGAAGCTTCAGCCTTAAGCTTGAGCTTGAAGCTTCAGATCTGGTCTGGCTGATCTGGTTGGACTGATTCGAACTTAGTCCTGGTTCCTTAGCTTAGGATTTGGGCGAGAGTGTGCTAAGAGAGGTCTAGGGAGGCAGCGCCAACAACTGCGACCACCGAACAACAGTTTTTGTTGCATTGCAGTTGTTGTGTTGCTTTACAGTTTTTTGGGGGCCTTCCAGTTTGTTTTGTATCTGGTCTGGCTGGTCTGGTTCGTCTGATTTGAGCTTAGTCCTGAAGCATTATTATAGGATTCGGTCGAGAGGGGAGGTCCAGGGAGGCAGCGCCAACCACTACGACCACAGAAAACAGCTGTTTGCATAGAATGTGTTTTGCTTTGCAGGTTTTGATGCATTGCAGTTTTTGGTATGGCATCTGGTCTGGCTGGTCTGGTGGGTCTGGTTTGAGCTCAGTGCTGAAGCTTTAGCTCAGGATTCGGGCGAGAGTGGTTTAGGGGAGGTTCAGGGGAGGCAGCGCCAACAACTACGACCACCGAAAAACATGTTTTTCGCATTGCACTTGTTTTTGCATTGCGTTGGTTGCGTTCCAGTTTGTTTTGCATCTGGTCTGGCTGCTCTGGCTGGTCTGGCTTGAGCTTAGTCCTACAGCCTTAGTGTAGGATTCGGTCGAGAGGGGAGGTCCAGGGGGGGCAGCGCCAACCACTGCGACCACCGAAGAACAGTTGTTGTTGCACTTGACTGGTTTTTTGCATCTGGTCTGGCTGGTCTGGTGCGTCTGGTTTGAGCTCAGTGCTGAAGCCGTGGCTTGGGATGTTTTTTGTTGCAGTGCAGTTGCTTGCTTCCTTTGCAGTTGTTTTTGCATCGCAGTGTTTTCGCATCTCGTCTGGCTGGTCTGACTGGTCTGCTTTGAGCCCAGGCCCGAAGCCCCAGCTTGCAATTCTGGCGAGAGTGGTTCAGAGCAGGTCGAGGGCGGCAGCGCCCGCCACTGTACGACCACCAAACCACAGTTGTGCTTGCACTGCAGTTCTTGTGTGCACTGCAGTTGTTGTTTGCATTGCAGTTTTGTTTTGCATCTGGTCTGGCTTGGTCTGGTTGGCTTGGTTCGAGCTCAGTGTTGGAACTTACGCTAAGAATTCGGGCGAGAGCGGTTCGAAGGGAGGCCCAGGAAGGCAGCGTCAGCGCCTACGACCGGAATGCCGTCTGTTTTGCTCTGCAGTTTGTTTTGCCTTGCAGCTTCTTTTTTGCGTTGCAGTTGTCGTTCGGCATCTTGACTGGCTGGTCTGGTTGGTCTGCTTTGAGCTAAAAGCTGAAGCTTCAGCTTCAGATTTGCAGTTTTTTGGGTGTTCATTTGTTTTTGCTTTTCAGTTTTTATTTGCATCTGGTATGTCTGGTCTTGTTGGGCTGGCCGGTGTCTGGCTGGTCTGGTCCGGATTGAATCGGGAACCGATCGAACAGAAGCCGAATGGACAACGAAGTTACGAGGGGGAGAGGACAAATAACAGAAGGCAGACCACGGATGAGCACGACGAGTATTTTCACGAGTGCGACAAGAAACGATGACGACCATGACGACGGAAGCTACGAAAACGAGGACTCAACCAGACAAGCCAGACCAACCAGACTAGCGCACGGCGGGACGCCAAGCTTCAACAGAGCAAGCTCCAAGCTTGGGACTTGAGCTCCAACTGAAGACTTAAATTGGTCTGGTTGGTCTATCTGGCTGGTCTGGCTGACTGGTCTAGCTGGTCTGCTTGGTCCGGGCCGGTTGGTCTGCTCAGTCTGGTCCAGGCTTCGCGTGTCTGCACGGCTAGCTGGTCTGCCTGGTCTGGTGTTGGTCAGCTGGCTAGCTTGGCTGACTGGTCTTCTGCTTGGTTCGGGCAGGTTGGCCTGCTCAGTCTGGCCTGTGCTTCGCTGGTCCGAACGGCTGGCTGGTCTGGTTGGTCTGGTTAAACTACCTGGCTGGTCTAGTTGGTCTACCTGGCTGGTCTGACTGGACGGGTCTGGCTAGTCTGCTTGGCCGTTGCCGTCGTCCTCGTCCTCGCCCTCGACTTCCTCGTCGTCGTCGTTGTCGTCGTGGTCGTCGTCGTCGTCGTCGTCGTCATTGTCTTGCCCCCTGCGTCGCCGCAGCCGGGGCTGGGATCGAAAGCGCTGCTGCTTCAAGTCCGGCTGCTGCGGACAAAGAGGTGGGCAGGGAGAGAACATTAGCAGCCATATCAGCTCTTATGATCCAGAGCATAGTCAGGCGCTGGGGCATAATAATTGTTTGCCTCCATTGGCACAGTGCCACATCCAGGATAATCAGCGGCGATGTTCAAAGCTTACTGCCTCCTTCTCCTCAGCCTCGGAACTGGTCAGGCGAGGAGGGCAGGGTTCCCGGAGCGGCACCCGAAGGCCCCGCAGGAGGCTAGAGGGAGCCAGAGCTCTCAGGCCAGCCCACGATCTCCTGCTGGTGCACGTGCTTCGCGAAACTGCAGGGGGCCTCCGCCATGGCCTGCACGACGAAGTGATCGACGGGGAGCCCGCTCCAGTACCCGCCGCCAGGCACGAAGGGCACGGCATGCTCCGATAGCACCTGCGCAGCGCCGTCGCCGCGGGCGGAGCCCGAGCACTCGTCCACACCCCCCTGGCCCCGCGCGCTAGCCTCGGCCTCGAGCCTGGGTCCGTGCTGGACCCACCGAAGGGTTGGCGCACCCGCTGTGCCGATGGCGACACCCGGCGCATCAGAGCGAAGCGCCACGTTCCTTCGCAGCCCCGCCAACCACCCGGGAGAGCGCCCCACGAGCACCGCCGTCGACGCCGGGAGAGAAGAGCGCGAGTGCGCACCGCCACCACTGCGCCACCCAGCAGCCCGTCCAGCGCCCCCCACCGCTTCTTCCAGCTCGGCCCTGGTGCGGGCCAGCTCGCCAGAGCGCTCGACCGCGGCCCCGTCCGCGGAGAGGCGAGCCCCATCGCGGGCTGCCTTGCGCTCGCCAGGCGAGCGCCTGGGACGGGCAACTCCCCCGTCCACCCGCGCTATCGCTCCGCGAGCCCAAAGCCCGGCTCCCCCAGGTCCCCCCGCGCCCGCTAAGCTGCCCCGTGAAGCTGGGATCTTGGGTTACGCCGGGGGACACGGTCCAGGAGGGGGGGGTCTACGGACAGGCATGAGCTAAGGGTTTGAGCCATAGTGGCTGAGGTAGGAGGAGGAGGATGAGGAGGAGGAGGAGGAGGAGGAGGAGGAGGACCAATGTAAAACCAGGTATCATCAACGATGTTGGAATTCACCCTCCCTCCGGACGCCCTCGTCATAGGCTCCTGCAAGGATTCATTTCTACTGACAGAAGCGCCCCGTTGGGGGACAACCGCTTGAATGTCCTGAAACGTGTCAAAGCAGCATTCTCGGGACTCCGATGCCACGAATCAACCTGACTGTTGTGTGTTGACGATCCTGAATCGTGCCCGAGCGCTGCTTCCGGGATTTCACCACCGCGATTCAACGTAACTGTTGCGCCCTGCCAGTCCTGAATCATTTCACAACGCCATTCCTGGTATGTTAACCATGGGAGCCTGTGCAACTTCATTTTGTTCAGCGGATGCGCGCGGCGCTAAATCGAGAGCCACATCTTGGAAAAGGAGCCACCCTCAATCCGTGATGCGCTCGCACATCTATTTAACGAGGGTTTGCGGCGCTAAGGCGAGAGGCACATGTTGCAAACGACCCGCCCTCAATCCACCAAACTCTTGCAAATGTTAAAGACGAGTGCTGGCGGCGCTAAGGCGAGAGCCACATATTGAAAACCACCCGCCTCAATCTGTCAAGCGCTTGCACATTTTAGACGAATGCGCGCGGCGCTGAGGCGAGAGCACAGTTTGGAAATGGCCCGCCCTCAACCCGTCAAACTCTTGCAATTTGTTTAAGACGAATGTTTGCGGTGCTATGGCGAGGACCGCTTATTGGAAAAAGGCCCGCCCTCAATCCGCCAAACCCTTGCAAGCTTTTACAAAGAATGCTTGCGCCGCTTTGGCGAGAGCCAGAGCTTCAGGATCACAATTGGTGAGGAAGCCTCAGGCGAAACGCCTGGCCCGCCCTTCCGATTGGCCTCCGGGTGCTGCAGGGAGGAGCTACGTATAAGGAATTGGAGTGGAGGAGGAGGACCAGTGTAAACCCAATATCCACTACGATATTGCAAAGAACCTTCCCTGGGAGCTCACTCTTCGTATGCCCCATACAAGGATTGATTTACACTGAGGGAAGTGTCCCGTTGACAGACAACCAAGGAGAACTCATGAAGTGTGCCAGAATTCCATTCTTGGAGCATCAACGCCACGAATCGCAGTTACTGTTGCGTCTTGACGACCCGAACCGTGCCGAAACACCATTCGTGGGATGTCGGCACGGCGATTCAACGTAACTGCTTCGCCTTGACAGTCCAACATCGTGTCAACATATACCTCCTGTGATGTTGCTATGGGAACCCTTGCAACGGTCGTGAACTCTGAAAACGATTGCGCGCGGCGCCAAAGCGAAAACCAGATTTTGAAAAGGAGCCGCCCTCCATCCGTGGCATTGCTGCAAGTTGTTAAGACGAACGTGCGCGGCGCCAAACGACCCGCCCTCCATCCGTGAGGTTCGTGCAATCGTCTACGCCGAATGCACGCGGCGTTTAGGCGAGAACCGCATTTTGAAAACGGCGCGCCCTTCATCCGTGAAACTCATGCTACTGTCAACTCCGAGGGTGCGCGGCGCCCAAGCGAGAATTACATTTTGGAAATGGTCCGCCAATCCATCCGTGACATTCAGGCCAATTCTTAGCTAAAGCATCAGACTTGGTGAGGGAGCCTCAGGCGAAACGCCCGACCCGCCCTGTCGACACGCCTCGGAGTGCAGGGAGGAGTTATTTTAGAAGGAAACGGGATAGAGCAGGAGAAGCAGGAAGAGGACGAGGAGTGCGAGGAGGAGGAGGAGGAGGAGGAGGAGGAGGAGGGCGGGGGCGAGCGAAGAAGAAGATGGCGAGGATGAGGAGCGCGAGGAGGAGAAGGAGGAAGAGGGGGAGGGGGAAGGTCGTGTCCGAGGGCGGGCCATCGGCCTCGGTCAGAGAGGCGCTCGCGGCGGTGCACGACGCGGGTATAGTCCACCGCGACGTCAAGTGCGAGAACTACCTCCTCGACTCCGAGGGATCGCGCCTTTTTCGGGCGGACCAGCGACTGCGGTCAGGGAGTTTGGTTTATCCTGTCGCGTCTCCGATTCTGACCCATCACGCTTCCTCGCGACACGCCAATCACGTTCTCATTTTCCGAGCGTCGATCTCCCGAGGGGTTCCCATCACCTGGCCCTGCGAAGCGGAGCGACACGCTACCAGCTTGCAAGGCATAGCGTGCCGCCAGGCCCGCCGCCGCGACACCCTAAGCAGCAGTTCCTGACCGTAGCCTGTGCTTCTGGGCTTCGCGAGCAAGGCACGACAGGCGTTCGAGACTCGTCGGGGGCCCCAGGACACTCACGGATCGCTCAGGCCCGAACAAGTCGAGCGGTGCCAAGGGGGGCCACCACTTGGGGGGTCATTCGACCTGGGAACTCGAGGATCGAGGCGGAGGGAGGATCGAGGATCGAGAAGGTCTCACAGGCTTCCGTGCGTCGCTGGGGGTCCCGGGCGATGCCCGGGGGGGCCAGGGAGGTCTGGTGTCTCGGAGGAGCGGGCGACCCCCGTGGCCTTGCCCCCCCCTGACCCTGCACAGCAGCGCTCGCACAAGCGTGGTGCGGAGATCGCTGGCCGCGATTTGTTTCGCGATATCGGATGCCAGGGAATGGGGAAGGTGATGATGATGCTGATGATGATGATGATGACGACGATGATGATGATGATGCTGATGATGATGATGCTATTGATGATGACGATGATGATGTCGATGATGATGACGATGATGATGATGATTATGATGATGATGATGATGATGATGATGATGATGATGTTGGTGATGATGTTGATGATGATGTTGATGATTATGTTTTCGGTGCAAATGCTATACCGAAGTTCTGGGCATCATCAACAGCATCATCATCAGCATGGCGAGACGATTAACTAAAGAAACAAGCTGAGCGCGCCATGGGTCGAGGAATGTTTTGCCAATGCTTGCCCTGATCTCAGGCGCTTAGTTGTGCACGGCGTAGCGTGTAAATTCGTGCTTCGGTAGGGCTGGCATGACCACAGTCAGTCACTCCCGCTGGAATTGAAGTGCTGGCCCTGGAAGCGTTCGGTAGACCCCGAACTTCCCATCTTGAGGAACTTCGAGGTGGGGGCGATGTGAGCGATCCGGTCCAAGCTCCGTGTGCACTTGAATATCGTAGACGTATATTACAACACTTTCGTTTGACATTTCATTGGCTGCGTTGCTTTGAGCTGGCGCGAGTAACAGCAGTATGCTCCACACGGACCAGTCGTGGTAACTGCCGTGACACATCGCAGGCTCTGCGGCCAGGCGTGGCTATAGCCGCGCCAGGTGCTTCCAATGCCAAGCTGTTGTTGTCCTGGCCTGTCACATTCCCCCCTCGCGTCGGATTGTGGGCGGGAAGCAGAAGTACGGGATCGGGTGGGGCTAGGACGAGGATGAGTCCTTTCCAGGGCGTTCCGGAACGCCCACAGAGCGTTCCGGAACGCTCTGAGAAGGCCGCGGCGCCCGAGACATCCTCCAGAGTCGCAGGCTCTCAGAGATTCTCGATTTACCCACACCCGACTTTATTCAGGCGATCGCAAACATTGATCAAGGGATCAAGGGGGCGTGGATTAGCGACGGGTCCCGTTTCCATGAGAAATGGCGGATTTCCGCCGCCGAACGATGCGGCACCGGCCGCATTTGGGGAGGGTACCTCCCCCGATCCATGGATCTGGCGACCGCGCGCCAAATCCATGGATCGCTGATTCATGTTTGCGCGCCCCTGATTTATCCTGGCCGAGACTCGGGCCGAACGAAAGGGGGGGATAGGGAAAGGGGGGGTTACGAAATCAGCTGCATGCAGCTGGTTTCGGCCCCGCCGCTGGGCCCATTCCTCGATACATGGGCGCCTCCCGGCGCCGGGAGGCGCAAGGAAAGTTAGCTACGTGAGCTGACTCTCAAGCCCCCCCTCTTTGCTATCCCCCCCCTTCGCCCGGCCCAACCTCCTCCTCGTCCTCCTCGTCCTCCTCGTCCTCCTCGTCCTCCTCCTCCTCGTCCTCCTCCTCCTCCTCGTCCTCCTCCTCCTCCTCCTCCTCCTCCTCCTCCTCGTCGAGACGTGGAGGGCGCGAGGGGCTGCCGAGCCCTCCCCCCTCGGCTCCCCGGCGGGCCTGTGCGGAGGGCCGGCCCTGGCCGCCGTCCGGGGGGGGGGGGGGGGGCGCCCCTGCGCGGCCCCCGGCCGCGGCGCGCCTCTGCAGAGGGGGGGGGTTTTACTGCGGAGAAGGCTGGCCGCAGTGCGGCATTGGCGCTGAAGTTGCGCTCAGATCGATGTTTTGTTGTCTTGTGTGCTTTACACATATATATATATATATATATACACATATAAACACAAAAATGCGCCAACAAAAACAAACCTTTGTCGTCCGACGACCGTTCTGCGGAGCGCGGAAGCAGTCAGAAGCCGAAGGCAGCTGGGACGTGCGCGGAGCACTGAAGCTGTACCGCAGCGACACGACAGGGGCGCCGATGCGGAGCGGTCGGCGCGGCGCGCGCTTTCACGTCGCGAGTTTGTGCGTTGCATTGCACGTGGCATCTCTACGTGGCATCAGCGGCCAGTCCGCACGCGCGCGCCGCTCCGGCGGCTCCGGGCCACGGGAGGCGCCAAGGGGCCGGCGCCATGAGGAGGGGAAGACAGGCGAAGACGCCGGCGACCCGGCCCGCGCCCCACCCGCGACCCTCCCGCGCGACCCACCCGCGACCCTCCCGCCACCCACGCGCGACCCGCCCCGCGACCCACCCGCGACTCGCCCGCAGCCCACCACGCGACCCCCTCCTTGCCCGCCCCCTCGCTCCGATCCGCGAGTGCGGGGCGCGCTGCATGTCATTCTTTGCTCATCGAAGGGCCTTCGGTGGGGGGGGTCGGAGCCCAGCCTGTTTTTTGTTGTGTGCGTGTGTGTGTGTGTGTGTGTGTGTGTGTGTGTTGTGTGTGTTGTGTGTGTTGTGTATGTGTGTGTGTCTTTGTGTGTGTTTTGGGGGGCGGGGGAGGGGGCGCGCAGGCCCTCGGCCAGACCGGGGGCCCCCCGGGAGGCCCCCGCAGACATGGCGCTCCCCGCTCCTGGCCCCTCCGGGCTCGGGCGGCGTCGAGCATTCTGGCCTCGCGCCGCCAGCGAGTGGAGGCACACCGTACATGTACATAGATGTATGTGTATGTATGCCTGCATGTGCATACGTACATTCCTCCACATAGACATGCATGCACACACATACACATACATACATCAACACATACATACATACATACGTACCTGTATACACGTACATACATACATACATACATACATACATACATGCATGCATGCATACATACATACATACATACATACATACATACACACAGACATACAGACATACAGACATACAGACATACAGACACACATACACATACACATACACATACACATACACATACACATACACACATACACATACACATACACATGCACATGCACATACACATACACATACACATACACCTACACATACACATACATACATACATACACACATCCATACATACATGCATACATGCATACATGCATACATGCATACATGCATACATGCATACATGCATACAAGCATACATGCATACATGCATGCATGCATACATGCATACATGCATGCATGCATGCATACATGCATACATACATACACACACGTACATACATACACACACTCATACACACATACACATACATACAGACAGACATACATACATACATCAATCCATCCATCCATACATACATACATACATACATACATACACACATACATGCATGCACACTTACAAACATGCACACTTACAGACATGCATACATGCATGCATACATGTATGCATGCATACATTCATACATGTAAAAGTATCGATATGTATATGAACACATTCGTTGTTATGTCACATGCATGCACGCCTATATATGCATATATATATATAAACCCATATGTGCATGACTATGCGACTAGATACATGTATATATATATACACATATATATATATATGTATGTATTATAGGGGGTCCCGGGCCCCCCGAAGTGCACTGATTTATCTTCCGGCCGTTTCGGGCCCAGCGGGCGGCGCCAAATAACGTCAAAGGGGTCCGAGAGACGTCCAAGAGGGCGCCAAGATGGCACTGGAGCGCTCCAAGATAGCCCAAGACCGCACAGCAGCGTATCAAAATTGGTCCAACATGTCTTGAAGACAGCCCAGGATGGCTTCAAGACGGCCAAGATGCTTTCAAAAGGATTCCCACGAGGCACTCAGGAGGCGAAACAAGGTGGTTATTTCGATGGTTTTTGAAGGATTGTTTCGTGCTCTCGCTGTTTCGTGCTTCCAATGGTCCAAGATAGCCCACGAGGCCCCAGAAATCAGCTCAGCACGGCCCAAGAGGCACCCAAAGAGGGCGCCACGACGGCGCAAGAGAGCCCGAAGACGGCCCAAGAGTGCCCCGAGACGGCCCACGAGGCTCCCAAGATCGCCCAAGAGGGCCCCAAGGCGGCCCTAAGAGGGGCCCAAGAGGGGGAACACGAACCGACAATTCGAGCCTTCCGCCCCCAGAGGCCTCCAGGAGGCCCCAAGAGGCCCCCAACAGAGCCCAAGAGGCCCCCCAGAGGCCCCCTAGAGGCTCCACGAGGCCCCAAAGAGGCCCAACAAGAGGCCCAAAGAGCACCCCAAACGGCTCCAAAGAGGCATCCACAACATACCGGTGCATAGCAACGGACCGCCTAGCCTATCGTGGCATCGCAGCGTTGCATGACATGTCATTGCACGCCACAGCACGACAGAGCTAACCGTGGCAGTGCATACCACAGTATGGTTCATCATGCCATAGCATTGCAGTCCATAGCAGTGTCTAGCTGAGCCTAGCACTGCACGTCACGACGTAACACTGCCTTGCATGACATTGCATCTCATGACACATCGTGCCATACTATGGCATTCCAGTGCGCATGCATTACTCGAACAACACCGTACTGCACTGCGCAACAGCAAACTGACATCATACAAATATCACACCCCGTTGTTGTTCTTTCTGTCGTCCTGAGTATTTATGCCTAGCAGATCCTAACATGGCATAGCATTGCATTACATTGCGTAGCTGGGCATGTCGTGTCTGTACATGCCATGCAACGCGGTAGCATCGCTCATCGTAGGAAGCATAGCATGATGTGGCTCAGCGTATCATCCCATATATTCTCATAGCATTTCACACCACAGCATGGTATGACATGCAATGCGCACTGTAGGAGTATATCATGTTATTGCATTGCATACTGCATAGTGGCATTGCGCTTTATAGCGTAGCATTGTGTATCAGGGTATTCCATAGCATAGTGCAACCTGGCGCCGTAGCGCTGCATATTTCCTGGCCCGTAGCTTGGCGAAAGATCACCGGTCGACCGTCCGATGAGAGCGGAGGAGGAGGAATGAGGAGGGGGCAGGAGGAAACAGATAATGCTGACCTCATTATTCATGACTGGCTTCTTGTCTCAATGCGGTCAGCATTCGACCAGTTAGAACCTGAGCGCGCGCGAAGAGCGCGCGATGGTTCTAGTATATATACACACATGTATATACATACATACATACGTACATATATATATGTATGTGTATATATATATACATGCGCATGCTTGCATGTATGTGTGTGTGCGCATGTATGCATGTGAGTATGTATGTGCCTATGTATGTATAGACGGATGTATGTGCGTGTTCGTATCCACGAATGTACAGACATGTTTACATCCATGTTCTGTAACCTAGCAAGAATGTGCTCCCGCGACGCGCGAGAGCGCTGCCAGGGCGGGTCAAGATTATCGACTTCGGGACCGCCCGAGACACCGCGCATCCGGAGGTGAAGCCCATGGGGAGGGCCTCGTCGCGCCCGCGGGTCTGGCAAAGCCCCCCGCTCAGAGGCCCGCTCCTGCTCGTCCTGGCCTCGCCCGCGCGCTGCTCGGGGCAGTCCCAGAGATCCGGCGCTCCAACCAATAAGTTGGAGCGGCGGACTTTTGGCCGTTTTCGGGCTCTGAGGGCCCTCGCCAGGCCTCGGGACCGTCAGCAAACGACTCGGGACGAAAAACGGGCCCTGGGGCAGTGGTCCAGCCCTTCGGGGCCCACGCAGCGAACGGATTGGAGCGGCTGGATGTCTGGGACGTCCCGGTGACCTGCAGCTTGCTCGTGGCAGTTGCTCCCGACCAGCGAAGCCCCACGACCCCGCGACGGCTGGCAGCGGACCTCCGAGCGCCAGTCGAGCCTCTCCCCCCTGGAAGCCCACAGGAGCCTCCGGAAGGCCCTCTCTCTCCCTCCCGCGCCTCCCGCCCCAGAGCTCTTGCGACTCGTCGTGTTCCCGTCGCCAGCGCGGCGTTGAGCTCTCGACCCTGGTGCGGCCCCTCGGGCCAGCTTGTCGCCCTGAGGAGCTTTTGGGTGGTCCCGGGGCCCAAAAACGGCCCCAGGAGGCCGACACTCTCACACCCACGCTCGCGCGTGCGCGCGATCTGCTCCGCGTTGACGGAGGTTAGGGCCCCGCGTCCTGGCCGTGCTTTCGAGGCCAATCCGGCTGCGGCCACGAGGGCGTCACAGGAGTCCCGACATGGGCCAGGCACTTCAACCTCGATCCTCGACCCTCCCTCTCAGTCCTCGACCCTCCTCCTGCACGCGCCCCCTCGACCTTCCCCGGTCCTCGATCCTCCCGTCCTCCTCGATCTTCCGCGACCTTCCTCGCTCCTCGGTCTGCCTCGAGCCCCTTCGCCTCACCTCCTCGTCCTCGATCCTCGCTCTCTCTCAATCCTCGATCCTGCTCCTGTCCTCGATCTTTTTCAATCCTCGATCCTCGATCCTGGATCTTTCTCAATCCTCGATCCTCAATCCTCCATCCTCGCTCTTCCTCGGGTCCTGATCCCTTCCCCTCCCTCCCTATGTGCTCATCACTCCCTCCTCCCTGAGAGGGGAGGGCTTCTTGTCCTGGGCCCCGCGGACGCAGCGAGGGCCTCCCAACCCGTGCTCCTGGGGCCGCAGTACGAGCACCACGTCGGGACCCCGAACTTCATGGCCCCCGAGGTGCGCACTGCCGGCAGCGTCGTCGTCGTCGTCGTCGTCGTCGTCGTCGTCGTCGTCGTCGTCGTCGTCGTCGTCGTCGAAGACTCACAAGGGGGAAAAGGTACCCATACCCCGACCCATCGCCCGCTTTCCCCCCTCTCCGGGCCTCCCGGGAGGCCCTCGTCGCCGCCGCTGGACTCGTTTCGACATTCTGGTCAGAACGCACCCTGGGAGAGGTCCGAGGGGTACTCCGGATTCCATAATACAGTGGGGGGGGGTCACACTTTGGGGGGTGTACGATCTGAGCTGTCTTGGAGGGCTCGGTGGGGTCTAGGCAAAGGGCCGCCCTCTCATGGATGGTCTGGGGGGGTCTAAAACTTCTCGTCTGGGAGGGTTGCGACCCCCTCCCTTTCAAAACGAAATCTGGGGTAGCGGTATCGGTACCCTGTGGCTTCCTCGGGTGGCGTGGGGTGTGGAGGTCTTCGCACGGGTGCGTCAACGTGGCGATCCAGGACTGGGCCCGGCCCGTGCCACGGGCCAGAAGCCCATGCGGCGGGGGGGACAGGGAAGGATTGGGTCGGGGTTGACCGAGTATTCGGCTGGGGTCGTCGCTGCAGGGTGCAGCTGTCCCCTGAGATCCGGGGGTTAGCGTGAAGTCGGGCCCGTCTCTCTACAGGGGGGATATTCAAAAATAGTCAAACTATAGTCGCGGAACTGCTATTTTTTTGATTTTTGAGCATTCTTGAACATTCGAAACTTCTTAGTATTTGCGCGCATGTTTGAAGTTTTTGGGGGCATTTTTCATGCTTCGCCCAAAAATCCTCACCACCCACCAAACCACCCCAACCCAACCCGAAGGCCTCGACCTGCCCTCCATTTCCAGCTGGGGGGTGTCGGGGAACATGGAAAAGCACATACACACACATGAAGCCCGTACCCCCCCCCATCCTGAAATCGGGTCTTCGGGTTGTAGGAGGACGCGCCCGACCTAAGGGTACACGCCGGTACAAGGGTTCCAATTCGGGTCTTCGGGTTTTGGATTCCCAGATCCCAATCTGCTTGAAGCGCCTTCCTCCTTCAGGAATCGACGCGTTTTTGCCGTGTTTTGTCATTCTCTGAGAGGGCCTGGGCCCAATCCACTCAATCCGCCTTCCTACTTCTTGTTTTTACCTACTTCTTCCGACCGACGTGTAAGCTTCAGTCGGGCCTGTCCCCCTATAGGGGGATTGTGGACGAAAAATAAACACATAGTCAAAACAATTGCCCTAAACTGTCAAAACAGTCGAAGTACAAACAAAAAAAAAAGAAGAAGGCGAAACACAAAAAGCAAACAACATGTCAAAATGGACCGTATCGGCCCCTTTTTGCTCCTCCCCGGAGGGCGGCGGCCGCGGCGGCGAGGGCCGCCGGCTCGGGCGGCGGGCACGGCGGCGCCGGCGACGGCGGGGGGGGGGCGGCACGGACGACGGTCGCCAAGGGGGCGCCGGCGAGGGTGGGGGGGATCACGCCGACAGGAGGAGGAGGAGGAGGAGGAGGAGGAGGAGGAGGAGGAGGAGAGGAGGAGGATCACGCCGACGAGGAGGAGGAGGAGGAGGAGGGAGGAGGAGGAGGAGGAGAGGAGGAGGAGGAGGAGGAGGAGGAGGAGCAGGGAGGAGGAGGAGGAGGGAGGCGGCGGCGGCGGCGGCGGCGTCCTGGGCAGGTGAGACTCTGCGTCGACGTCGTCGCCGCCGCCGCCGTCAGCGGAGGCCCCGTGGGAGGGGCGCCGATGCGCTGGCCGCGGGAGCGTGACACCCCAGGTGGTGCACGGCAGGGCCAACGACCGGAGGAGCGACCTGTGGCCTGCGCCTCGGGCGCCCCGCTCGCGGCCGTGGGCGCCCCTGCGTGCAGCTCGGGTCCGAGCACGAGGCCGCCTCGTGCCCCTTCCACCAAGCCTTGTGTCGGGCGTGTCCCCCTACAGGGGGATTTTCGACGAAAAATCAAAAATACCCCAAAAAGGTCAACAACTATTGGAAAAATAGCCCCCAGACTATTTGGGGAATAGTTTGTTTGATTATTTTTGGAGTATTTTTTATTTTTCGTCGCAAATCCCCCTGTAGGGGGACAGGCCCGACTTAAACCAAGCCTTTCCCCGCCCGCATCTCTCTCGGGACGATCGAAGTGAGTTCAGGAAGGTGGGGTGGACGATGCCCGATAGCAGTTCCTGCTCATTTTGAAATGGGCTCGCCGCCCGCGCCGCCGCGGACACGGTTCACTGAAGGCAGAAAGCCGCCTGCCAACGGCGGCCGCCGTCGGTTTTGGACAGCAGTTGTTGTTGGGCATTGTGCCAGTTTTCCCGTACCCACTCAGGGCGTCCAAACTTTTTTGTTTTCAGTTCACTCGCCGCCCGCGCCGCCGCGGACACGGTTCACTGAAGGCAGAAAGCCGCCTGCCAACGGCGGCCGCCGTCGGTTTTGGACAGCAGTTGTTGTTGGGCCCCCGATCCCCACGCTCCGCCAGGATTTTTTTGTTGGCCGCTCAGAACATTGGGGAAAGCCTGGGGTACACCCCATGGAGGCTATTCGGACGCACCCCTATCGAGGATGGACGCCCCCCTCCTCGTATATCTCAGGGTTGGGCCTATGGGTCGACATATCCCTTGGTATCAGTCAGTACGTGTAACCGATCCCTATCCCCATCCACACCCCGATCCCCGCCACCCCAGCGCCCCATCTGGATATGCCCCTCGAAACCTGAAGGAAACAGTCTCTATCCCCATCTGGGGAGGGGTAAATCGGCCAGTGGGTCCCAGGCCACGTCCGTGGGGATACTCACCCAGAGGAGGAAAAGTACCAATACCGCTACCCTCTCCTTCTGGAGCTTCCTTGGATGCCCTCGTCGCCACGACTGGATTCGCCTCGAGCACCCTGGGAAAGGTCCAGGGAGCAGCGGCATCGGCAGCTTTGGGCTTCCCCAGACTCCTCCTTCTCCTCCTCCTTCTCCTCCTCCTCCTCCTCCTCCTTCTCCTTGTCCTACTCCTCCTCCTCCTCCTCCTCCTCCTCCTCCTCCTCCTCCTCCTCCTCCTCCTATTCCTCCTCCTCCTCCTCCTCCCCCTCCTGCTCCCCCTCTTCTTCCTGATCCTCCTCCTCCTCCTCCTCCTCGTCCTCATCCTCTTCCTCCTCCTCCTCCTCAGCCAAAAAACTTGGGGGCACCCGAGTGGGTCCCCACCCCCGTCACCAAAGGGGACACCCCCGAGCGTTGGGGTAATGGTCTCGGGATCCTAGCATCGAGAAAACCACCCCCAGGACCTTCAGGAGGACTGGGCCTATGGCATTCCGCTTCTCTTCTAATTATGAATCCTCCTCATCCTCATCCTCCTTTTCCTCCTCCTCCTCCTCCTCTTCCTGCTTCAGGGCACGCCGGAGGGGGCCATCGTCCGCGGAGGTTGGCGCGAAAGCGCGGTGGCGCTCGGATCTAGAACGAGGTGTCGGCACTCGCCTGCATCGGGAGCGCTGGGAGGGACGGGGATCAATGCAGCCGGGGATCAGCCAGAGCTTACAACGCCAGGGCTGCACTGAGCCGAGCTATAGCGCGCAGGATGTTGCAGGATCCGAGCAGGATCTTGCAGGATCCTGCAGAGCCAGGGCCGCACTGAGCCGGGCTCGCGCGCAGGATGTTGCGATCAGGATCTTGCGGGATCCTGCAGAGCCCGACCGACCCTGGTGTGGATTGACCTGGGTCAGTGGTTTCCGACTTTAGCCTTGTCAGCGTCGACATTCGCATGATGCTCGATGGCACCGTACACACATGAGGCCGCCTACCGAAGCTCTACGCGCGGGGTTCCGCGGCATGGAACACTGTGGCTGCGTCGCCCCCTCTGTCAAGAGGGCCCTGGCGCTGGGTGCTGTGGCGAGGGCGCGCCAAGTGTAATAAAAAACAAGGGTGATTCACAAGTTGGTGATCACACTTGCTCTTTCGCAAACAAGATTTGTATCACACTTGTTCGGCGCGAGGCCGACGGATGATCAGGATGAGGTCCTCTGCGTTCTCACGGGCCACCTGCGTCGCCTCCCTGGCTGCTCCAAAGACTTGCTGTGGGCAGGGTGGCACGCGAAGGCCTGCCAGGCCGGCAGTCATGCCCCCCCCCCCCCTCCGCGGCCGGGTGGCCATCCGGGCCATGCTGCCTCTGTCCCTCCCTCCCTTGCCTTCCCTTCCCTCTCCTGCCCCCCTCCCTTCCCCTCCCTCGCCTGCCCTCTGCCCTTCCCCCCGCCCCCCCCCCCCCCCCCCCCCCCCCTTTCCCCCCCTGCCCCCCCCCCCTCCCTTCCCCTCCTGCCCCCGCCCCTCCCCCCCCCCCCCCTACCCCCCTGCTCCCCCCCCCCCCCCTCCCCCTCCCTCGCCTCCCCCCGCCCCCCCCCCCCGCCCCCCCCCCCGTCTCCTTCTCCCTTCCCTTCTCCTCCTTCCCCCCTCCCCCGCCGCCTGCCCCTTCCTCTCCTCGCGCAGCCTGCCTGGAGCTTTCCCGCGGGGTCTTCCGAGGGCAGGGCGGAAGGCGAGGCCCTCCTTCAGATAGTTTTTTTCCTTGCGGTAGCGGTAGCAGATCACGGGGTCCTGGTGCACCCTCGTGATCTGATCTCTTGCATCGATTTGCGTCGACTAGCGTCTTCGACTGCACGTAAGAGTGATCCTTCGCCGGAGTGACCTGTGGTGCGGGCCCAGGGAGGTCCCCCGGTCGCCGAACGCGATGCGGTAGTAGCGTCTTGCGCACTTGTGTGTTGGTTCCGCCGCGGCCCCCCAAAAGCCGCGCACCAAAGGTCACTCTTACTCAGGGTCACTCTTGCGTGTAGTCGACGTCTGGGAGTCGATGAGATAGCGCCGATTTAGCGTTGGCTGGCGTCGATTAGCGTCGATGTAGCGTCGATCTAGCGTCGATTTAGCGTCGACTAGCGTGGACTCGCAAGAGCCGACAAGATGGTATGGGAGTCTCGTATGGGTTGCCACCGACAGTTTTTGTTTCCCCTGGCGATGGCGGGCGTGACGTGAGCCAGTCAAGTCACGATTCGTGCCGCGGCCGTCTGGGAATTCTTCAGAGTCGTGGCTACAGTCAACGCGCCTAGTAAGGACGCGCGCCTTCACCTAGGGTGCCCTTGTGTCCTTGCACCTGCGGCCTGTCCTCTGCCGTTTTCACTGGTCGCCCGCCGCCCCAAGAGTCCCCGCTTCGGCCTCCAAGGGTCTTGCGCCCTTGCCACCCGCCCTTAATACACGTTTTGACTGTATATCATGCCCAGACGGCGCCGGCGTGACTCTTGACGCGGCCAGGGGGGCGGGGGGAGGGGGCGGGGCCGGTCCCAGGCGTCAGCGCGAATACTTGCCGCTTACCAGGGGCGCAGCCTCGGCGGCGGCCGCGGGCGTCGCCATGACGCGTCTTCACACTCCCGTCTGGTCTCGGGCCGGGCGAAAGGGGGGGATTGGGAAAGGGGGGGTTACGAAATCTGCTACATGCAGCTGGTTTCGGCCCCACCGAGGAGCCCATTTCTCGATACATGGGCGCCTCCCGGCGCTGGGAGGCGCCGGGAAAATCAGCTACGTGAGCTGGTTCTCAAACCCCCCCTTTGCTATCCCCCCCCCTTCGCCCGGCCCGGTGGTCGGGCGGGGCGGCGCGGGACGGGGACGGGCGCGGGTGTCGCCACGGCGAGATTCTTCACGATGCCGGCCGGGTGGGCTGCACGGCGCGGCACGGGGACAGCAGGGAGGGAGGGAGTCCTGGAGTCCAAATCCTCATCGCCCCTGGGAGGAGGAGGAGGAGGAGGAGGAGGAGGAGGAGGAGGAGGAGGAGGAGGATGATGGGAGGAGGAGAGAGGAGGAGGAGGAGGAGGAGGAGGAGGAGGAGGAGGAGGAGGAGGGAGGAGGATGAGATGAGGAGGAGGAGGAGGAGGAGAGGAGGGGGGGAGGAGGGGGAGGGAGGATGAGGAGGAGGGAGGGAGGAGGAGGAGGAGGAGGAGGCCTCGAGTCCAAAATCTCGTCGCCCCTGGCGTGGGACGTGCGGCGCCAGGGGGGCGCGCCCAGGCGGCCCCCTGCCCAACCCCGGGGGGCGGGTGCGCAGCCCCCCGTGTGCGGGGCCTGGTGGGCACGGGTGGACACCGCGGGCCCGCCCAGGCGAGCCTCGAGAGCTCGGGCGCGTCCGACGTCTTCCTCCTCCTCCTCCTCCGCCTCCTCCTCCTCCTCCTCCTCCTCCTCCTCCCTCCTCCTCCTCCTCCTCCTCCTCCTCCTCCTCCTCCTCCTCCTCCTCCTCCTCCTCCTCCTCCTCCTCCCTCCTCCTCCTCCTCCTCCTCCTCCTCCCTCCTCCTCCTCCTCCTCCTCCTCCTCCTCACTCCCCGTCCGGCTCCCGCAGTGAGGAAGCCTCAGGCGAGAGTCGGGGTACAGCCAGGACCCCAGGTAAGGGGGCCCGGTTCGTAGCAGGGCCCCGCAGCCCCTTAGTCTGCCAGAATCACTCATACGGGTCTGCCGTAGCTGGTGTTTTTTCGGGTGACGGCAGTTCCGGTTAGTGGAACGGGCGGGGGGGGCGTCCCCCAGTACACATCACTAAGCCAGGTCCCACTAAACCCAGTTCTGCCAACGCCCGAGAGAGCCAGATGATGACAAGGGACCGCCCTCCACTTGCGCAACCGTTTGTCGTTGCCAGCTGTGAGTAATCAGGTATCGGCGAGCCCGCCAACGAGAGTTTGACTCTCCATCCAATTCGGCTAGACCCACTGTTCAGGATGACTTGGGCAGGGGCGATGGTCTCGGCCACGAGGGTTCGGCGAATTTTGAAAAGTGAGCACGCGAAACTGCTCGGAGCTTCAAGCTTCAGGATACCAATCACCGGGAAGCCTCAGGGAAGAATGAGGAGGAAGAGGAGGAGGAGGTGATGATGAGGAGCAGGAGGAGAGGATGGATGAGGAGGAGTCAGGGGAGTAAGGGAATATGGGGGCGGAGGAGGAAGGAGGAGGGGGAGGAACAATAACGATGTGTAGCAGCAGGTCGCAAACAGTACCGCGCATGAGGAGGAAGGAGTAGAGGGTTGAGGGAAGAGCAGGCGGGGGAGGAGAGGGAGGAGAAGCAGGAGCCGAAGCAGGAGCAGAAGGAAGCAGACCACACATCTGCTCCTTTCGTCGTCGTCGTCGTCGTCGTGCTTGTCGTGCTCGTCGTCGCCGTGGCCCTCGTCGTCCTCGCCGCCCTCGTGGCCGCCATCGCCATCGTCGTGCCCGCCGCCGCCGCCGCCCCCGCGCGGCGACCCGAGGTCGCTCGGGTGCGCGGTGTACCAGGCGCGCCGTTGGCGGGCCTGCCGGCCCCCTCCCCCCCCCAAAGAGCGGAGCGGCCGACGGGTGCCCCCGGCCGGTCCGGCGGCGGCGCCCCGCGGAGGTGCCCGAGGCATGCGCTCCGACGAGGGCATCTATGCTTAAGTCGGGCCTGTCCCCCTGCAGGGGGGATTTGCGACGAAACATGAAAAATCTACCAAACATAGTTGAAACAGAATCCAAAAATAGTCTGGGGACTATCTTTTTAGTATTTTTTGGCCTTTTGGGCGTATTTTTGCTGTATTTTTTATTTTTGTCGGAAATCCCCCTGTAGGGGGACAGGTCCAACTTAAATATATACGCCACCACGATGCCAGGCCAGGGCCATCCTGGCCCCTGTACGGTGTACAGGCCCTCCTGGCCGAGGCTGGGAGGGTCGATGCACCATCCTGGGGCCCAGGACAGCCCTGGCCTGGCACGGTGGTGGTGTGTAGATGCCTTCTGCGTCTGCGCTGCGTCGTCTCTTCGGCCAGGGGTCCAAGGAGCTCGGCAAAGGAGCTCGCTGTACAGACGCTCCAGCCAGGTCCTATTGGATGGGAAGGTGGGGCGTCTATTTCCGGGGACCCCGAAATACACCAACAGCAACAACAGCATGCATAAACATCAATTTTCGGAGGTCCGCTCGGATGTCTCGGATCGACGCCAGACCCCTCTGGCGCGTCTGGCGCGCTCCGCGCGCCGGGGAAGGGGGTCCAGCGCCGATCCAAGAAACCCGCGTGGATCTCCCAAAGTTTCTGTTCATGCCTGCTGCTGCTCCTCCTCCTCCTCCTCCTCCTCTTCCTGCTGCTCTTCCTCCTCCTCTTTCTCCTACTACTCTTCCTCCTCCTCCTCCTCCTCCTCCTCCTCCTCCTCCCTCCTCCTCCTCCTCCTCCTCCTCCTCCTCCTCCTCTCCTCCTCCTCCTCCCTCCTCCTCCTCCTCTCCTCCTCCTCCTCCTCCTCCTCCTCCTCCTCCTCCTCCTCCTCCTCCTCCTCCTCCTCCTCCTCCCTCCTCCTCCTCCTCCTCCTTCCTCCTCCTCTCCTCCTCCTCCTCCTCCTCCTCCTCCTCCTCCTCCTCCTCCTCCTCCTCCTCCTCCTCCCCCTCGCGTCGCAATTGTTTCACTGGGCGCTTTCGCCCCATTTCGGACCCCGGGGGCCTTCACTGCGATCGATCCACCTCGCGAAGGCCGACGCAGAAGGATGGGGCCTTGGGCTCTCCAGTCGTGATTTCCCGCGGGGCTGCCACTCTTTTCCGCAACGTCTGATCTTCGGGTCTGGTGTGCCCCCCCCTCTGCCAAGCTTGCGAGCAACGTTTGAGTCCACAACCGGGGCGTCTTGGCCTCTCCCGAAAAGGGGGGCCGCCGCACGGCCGAGGGCGCACAAGGATGTGGATACGCAAGAACATCTTGCCTCTGTGGGGCCAGAACTTTATGTCCATATACGGTAGGTTCGCGTCGTGTCGACCGGCGGCGACCCCGCCGCCGACGTTCAACGTTGAACGCCGACGGCGGCCCAGAATCGGTCGATGTTGAACGATCGGACGTTGCGGAGACGGCCGATCGTTCAAGGTTGAACGATCCAGCGCGGTGTCAGGAACCAACGCCAGGGTCGACACGGCACGGACCTGCAGTAGCCAGTGCGCCTCGGGCTTCTGGGGGAGCCCGAGACTCCAATCTGCAATTCGGGAGCCAGATGCGAGCCCTACCCCACCCTCCCCCTCAGAAATCGTGGGGGGTTAGGGGTAGGGTTCGCATCTGGCCCCCCAGCAGTGGATGCGGTGGGGACGTTCGATCAGGAGTGTGCCCAGGAGGCTGTAACACCCTGGAGGCTTCCTTCTCTGATAAAGGGCGGCGATGTTGTCCCTGGCCGATCCAGGATCGAAGCTTCCCCGGCGACCCTGGGTTCCTTATCGGAGGCCTCTTTAGCGCTTATCACCGTATAGTCGGGGGCGGAAAAGAAGGGGGTGATGACTAGGGGGGGGTGGATATCATGGCGTGGGCCATGATATCTCCCCAGATCTCGCGGCGCCTCTTCTTATTCCATGACGTCCCTGGCCCCCCCGCTGGGCCGCGCACATGCCGCCGGTCATGATTTGCACACCCCCCCCTCTTGGACGCCCCCCTCTTGGCCGCTCCCGACGCCTTCTCAGTTCCCCCCCCCCTCCTCCTCCTCCTCCTCCTCCTCCTCCTCCTCCTCCTCCTCCTCTCCTCCACCTCCTCCTCCTCCTCCCTCCTCCTCCTACTTGGCCGCTCCCGATCTAGTCTTTTGCCCGCGGAACTGCTCGGGGCGCGGGTGGGGGGGGGGGGGGGGGGGGGCGCCTCGGCCCGCCCGCGCTGCGAACCCCATCGCAGTTGTTGAGCTGGGCACCTCCCCCTGCAGGAGGACGATTCAACAACGTAAAACAAGTTGCCTCGGGACGATTGTTTCGGACTTTTGTTTGATCTGTTTGGATGCTGTTTGGCTCTGTCTCATTTTCCTTCCGAAATCCGTCTGTACAGCCAAGACGCTAAAATGAGGAACAGTGGTTATGTTTGACTATGTTTCATTTTCCTTCTCAAACCCGCCCGTACAGCCAGGACGCTGAGATAAGGAGCAGTGTGGATTCGGCAGGGACTCGACGTTCCCTGCGTCCTTCCGTGGTTGTGCCTCCAGCCCTTCTCGTGCACCCAGGCTTTTCTGAAGCCACAAGGGGGCTTCGTTCCTTCTTTAGCGTTCCCTATGTCAGCAGCCCGACTGCAGGAGGACATGCCCGACCTGCTCGTGGGGCCTCGTGGGGCTTTTTTTGAAGCCACACGGGGGCCGCGTTCCTTACTTAGCGTTCCCTATGTCAGCAGGCCGACTGCAGGAGGACATGCCCGACCTGCTCCTGGGGCCGGTCGTCGGCCCGACGGTGCGCGCTCGCTCGCTCGCGCGCGTTTTGGCCCGGAGCTCTGCTCCTCGGGCGGGGGGGTCGGACCGAGACCCCCTCGGGGGCAACGACGGGGGGTGATAGGCACAGGGTTAAGTCGGGCCTGTCCCTCGACAGGAGGAATCTTCAAATATAGCCCAAAAAATAATATGGGACTATGTTTTAGATATTTGTTTGCCCATTTCGGCGCATGTTTTGATTATTTTTTCCTTCCAAATTCCCCCTGTAGGGGGACACGCCCCACTTAAGCATAGGTGGGGGGGGGGAACGCATCGACCCCCAGTCGCCCATTGATCGCCGATAAGAGTATGTTAGCCTCACCCCGCCCAGGAACGCGCGGATTCGCTAGTGGGGGCCCATCGCCGATCCATCGGCGATGTGTCGCCGATTCCAGGGCGATGTTCCCCCTTGTGCCAGTTCCCCCCCCCTATCCTTGCCCCTCGCCCCTGGCGAGAGGGAGGACTTTCCCGACCACCCCTCCGGCCTGCGGCCCACGCCCGGGGGCGCCCGACCGTCGCTAGGGGTGCCCCCCCCGCCGCGGCGCCCGAGCATGTTCCGCGTCTTCGAGCAGCCACCAGGGCCAGAGGGCTCCGTCCTTCCCCGCCGGGGCTCGGCTCCCCCCCTGGCCGGCGCGGCGCCCCAGGGGGGGGGGGGGCCTGCCCGCTCCTGGAGGGAGAGCGCAGCGCTCGGCCGCGCCGGGGCGTCGACGTCGCCGCGCCGCCGCGGCGCGCGGGGGCGGCGTGCTCTCTCCCCGGTGGCCTGGGCCACCGGGGGCGCGGAGGCGAGCGCGCTCTGCGCGTTCCTCGCGGTCTGGGCGAGGGGCTGCTGCCCTTCTCCCGGAGGGCGGCCTCGGGGGCGCGGGGGCGCGAAGAGGTCGTCGCGCTCCGCGGTGCGCGGTGCGCGCGGCGCGACGCGAGGTGTCCTGGAGAGCCGGTTGGCAGGCGGGCGAGCGACCGGTGCGCCTGCGACAGGCGCAGTGCAAGAGCTGCACACCATGCATGCGTGTACTGGTGCGCCCTGGATCGACGGCCCTGGGGTCGATCGGCGGGCGAGCCTCCCCTTTCTTCTCTCCCCGCCATCCCTCTACCCCCTCGCATTCGGCTTCCCTCTCCCCCTCTCCCTCCTGCCGCCTCCCATCCACTTCTTCTCCCTCCGTCCCCCCCACCATGCCGATTGGAATCGATTTGACGGCCCCTCCATTGTCAACGACGGGAGGCATGGCAATAGGGAGAAAGGCAAGGAGGATGGAGATGACCAGAATGAGAAGGGGGAGCCCAGAGGACGGGTAAAGATGAGGATGAGGATTAGGAGGAGGAAGATGATCAGGATGAGAGCGAGGATCAGGAGGAGGAACCGCGATGCTTGCTTAAGCTGATGTTGCTCGATGCGATGTGCAGTTTGGAGATCGACCTTACGTGAGCGCGGATGACAGCGCTAGTCGAGTGCCAGGGCGTAGCTGCCGTGCTTCCGGCACAACCAGCGGGAAGAGTTGGGAGAATTGCTTGCGAAAGCTGGTCCGAGCTGCTTGAGAGCAACATTGGTTAGTAGTGGCTCTTTCGCTCCTTACTCAGCGGCGAGCGAGATGGAAAGTGAGAAGGGGCGGGCCTTCTCAGAAGGCCCGGAAGTTCTTTAGCCTCTTGAGACGTTTCCCAGGCCTGCCCCGAAGACACAAAAAACACCTCAGACGCAGAAGGACAGAGGCCTTCTGAGAAGCCCCGCCCGCCGCCTTCCGAGAAGGCCTTCCCCTTCTCTTTCCCCCTCCCCTCGGCCGCCACCGACTAACGCATGCCCCGCGTTGTGCACTGCTCTCGGCGTTCGCGCCACGGGCCCGCGAAGGCCGGCGTTCCCTCGTCGCTCGGGGGGGCCGTGCAGCCCCCGTGCGTCGCGCTGCAGACCCCACCCCCCCTCTCTCTCGTTATGATGTTCCAACCTGCTAGCCTTGATCACCAGGAAGACCTCTGAGCACCGAAGAAGTACCGAAGCTCGAGGGTTTTCACATGTGGGGCCCGGGGAGACACTCGTTCGACACTGTTTCGGCACTGGTTCGACATTGTTTCGACTCTTTTCCGGGTGCTCGATGTTG